CACCACGCTGTAGTAATTGTCCTGCGAGCTTTGCAACCGGAACGGGACGTCTTTGTCTATCGAGCAGCGCACCTCGCCATTCTTCCCCGAGTCACGGTCCTCCACGTGCAAAAGGGCCACGACAGTTCCCGGCTGGGCGTCTTCCGAGATCTCGTTTAGTGCAGACCTCACGGAAATATCGGGTGCATTGTCGTTGATGTCTGTCACAGTGATCATGACTTTTGCAGTATCATAAAGAGCCCCACCATCATATGCCTGTAGGTCCAGCTCGTAGGTATCGCCTTCCTCAAAGTCCAGGCTTCGTCCCAGAGTGATTGCTCCCGTCTCAGAGTCCAGGTGGAATATCTGCGATGAACTCTTTTTTTTTTTTAAAGAGTATTTCACTTGCCCGTTCAGTCCCTCATCCTTGTCGGTGGCCGTGACGGTGACAAGTGTGGAGCCCACGGGCACGTCCTCGGGCACACGCACCGTGTACTCCGCCTGGCTGAACACGGGCGCGTTGTCGTTCGCGTCCAGCACCGTCACGCGGATCCGAGCCGTGCCCGTCCGTGCCGGATCGCCGCCGTCGCTCGCCCTCAGCACCAGCTCGTGAAACGCCGCCTCCTCCCGGTCCAGCGCCTTGGCCAGCACCAGCTCGGGACGCTGATCGCCGCCGGGGCCCGCCTGCACGGCCAGCGAGAAGTGCTCGTCGCCGCTCAGCTCGTAGTTCTGCAGGGAATTCCGGCCCGAGTCTGGGTCATGAGCTTCGGCCAGAGGAAACCGCGACCCCGGCGCTGTCGTCTCGCTCAGTCTCAGATCCGTATCTGCCTCTTGAAAGCTGGGTGCGTTGTCGTTTATATCCACACGCAGCTGCCCCCACGCCGCCTGCCACGCCGCCAGCAGGATGGCGCAGAGCAGAGCTCGCTGCCGCCGGCCCCAGCGCCTCCCCGCCGCGCACATCTCCGCCGCGGCACCGCAACACCGCGAACGGCTTCCCACCGCCGACCGCCGATCTGCCTCTCTGTCCTTCTCTGTCTCGCTGCTCCCGGCGGCTCTGCCACCAGCAGTCCCTCTGCTTGGCTGCAGATCGGTTCCGAACCTCGGAGTCGATCGCAGACCGCTCTGTCGTGCCAATTACCCGGCGATCTTGTGATCGAGCCGGTCCGCAGCGGGCGGGGCTGCAGCGCTCCGAGCTTCCTCCCGCTCCTCTTGGTCAACAGCGGCGCCCGCAGCCTCCGCCCGGCACTGCAGGCACCGAGCGCTGCTCAGCGCTGCGGTCCTGCCCGGCACACGGACAGCTCGCGAGGACCAGATATTTGCCGCGGAGACAATTTTCCCGTGCAGCGGTGACCTCCTGCACTGCATTTTCTCCAGTCGATCTCTGCTTTGATCCTTCAGGGGATCATGATCGCGAGGAATGTCGAGGCATTCTGTAGCGGTGGCGCTTCAACCGCAGGAGGTACTAGTAAGTTAGTAACGGAAATATATGTAAATTAAAAGCTCTAGATTACCATTAGTCTTACTCTGTTTGTTGAAAAATCTCTTCGGCAACCGGGAGATTGAAAACATTAGATGTGCACCCACACAAACCGATAACCTAATGAGCTACCAGGTTCATAAATATAAGCAGGAAGAGAACAATTGCATGCTACTTGAAGTGAGGAAGCTAATTGTTATATGATTATTATAGGCAAAAATAAAGATGCAGCTAGTACTCTCAAAGGGCAACTTGAAGGGACCAAGACTCAAATGTTTGAATCTCGCTATCCTCTGTTAATTTTTTTTTTTGTTTCCTTACTTTTTACCCATTTATACCTAATCAAGTAATTCTATAGCCACAGGAAAAATAATTCATCAGTAATCAACTTGTAAAGCTTTGAAGTGTATTAAGAAAGTATCACCGGAATAGTTTTTTAATCAGGTTGTTACAACATTTTCAAGGATAGAGTTGTAGAACAGTAGAAGAAAATTACAGTTCCCCACTCGAAACTCGGATGACGTGTAAAAAATGTACAAATGAGTTCAATTCACATGCCTGAACTGTCATTTGGCTAATCACCTTGATACTATCAGATATTCCTATTTCAGATGTCAGTCCTTGTAAAGACAAGCAATCCTTGTAAAATCCTGCTATTCTCCAAAAACTCGGCATCTCCATAAATCTCAAACCCTTAGGGTAAAGACAAAAGGAAAAAGAAAAACATCTGAAACAAACCTTTCTGCACTTTCACCTCTGTATGAAATAAATATTATGAGAGTAAAACAGGGAACTACAAGCCAGGATGCAAAAAGGAAGCCAGGCCACTACTGCATTACCCCCCCCAAAAGGAGTGACATTCTTTCACTCAGGTTGCAGAGCACAACATTCCACAAACTAACGTTTGTGTCCATTTGTGTCTATTTGAGTCCAATAGACAACCCCCTCCCCCCCCAAACACTTAATAAGCTTATATGTGTAAAGCTATAAACCAGTTATAAATGCACTCTTTCTGAATAAAATCAGGAGAGAAAAAAAGCTACAACCCTTGTCACAGGTTTTTGGGTTTTTTTCTGTCCAACTCCATCAAACAGAACCAGCGCTGCAAACGCATTTTAATTTATAGAGCACGAGTTTTTGAAGACAAAACGTCTTCAATTGAACTTGACTGTGTTACCAAGGAAGAAGGGGTGCTACTGCTAGCCTCCTGCTCTCAAAGGAAGGAGAATACCCCTTTCCTTAATTCAGTTTCTTAGGTAAGTTCCTTAATTCATGGAGACAGGTGTGTGCCTCCCGCAACAATATAACGGCGGAAAACAGGGGAACACTGCTCCAAGTTAAAAAGAGAGTTACAGTCAAAGTATCTCAGCTGAAACAGATGCGGATACCAAGGAAAGATCAAAACATCCCGCGGCGACATGGAGACACAAATGAGGCCTTCTAATGGACACCAGGCAGAGAATACAAGGGGAAAAATGACGATAATAGGAGACCCTCAATAAGAGAAGGAGCGCGCGGCAACCGTGCCAGCTGGCGAGTCTTCGGGCACCGGGCTTGACAGCGACAGAATCGTGATTTCCGGCGCGTTGTCATTCACATCCAGCACCTCCACCTCCACCACGGAGTGTGCCACCAAACCCCCTCCGTCCTTTGCCTCTACAGCCAAGCTATACGCTCGCGTGTCCTCAAAGTCCAAAGGCTCCTTCAGTGTGACAGTCCCACTCTCTCCATCGACCAAAAACTTTTGAATTGCCTTGGTCGGCGTTTTGCCGAAGCTGTAGGTGATGCGGGCGTTGGTGCCGGTGTCGGCGTCTGAGGCTGACAGGTTCATTACTGCTGAACCTGGTGGCAAGTCCTCTCGCAGCCTCACGCGGTAGCGATCCTGCTCGAATATGGGTGGGTTGTCATTGGCGTCCGTGACGTTGACCCGAATCTGGACAGTCCCGGACCTCACAGGGTCCCCGGCATCAACCGCTGTCAGCACCAGCTCAATGGAGCTCTGCTTCTCTCGGTCCAAGGCTCTCTCCAGAACTAATTCCGGTTTGCTTCCGTCCAGGCTGTCCTTCATGGCGAGAGAGAAGGACGGGTTGCTGGCGAGCTGGTAAGTCAGCAGCGAATTGCTGCCCACGTCTGGATCATGGGCCATCTCCAGCGGAAAACGTGTCCCGGTAATCGTCCATTCACCGATCTCGAGTTCCAGAGCTGACTTGCTGAAGGTCGGGGAGTTGTCGTTCATGTCTTTGATGTCCACATCGATGTGGAAAATGTTCAGCGGGTTGTGCACCAGCGCCTCGAAGCTGACCGAGCAGGTCGCCGACTCGCCGCACATCTCCTCCCGGTCCAGCCTCTCATTCACGTACAGGTTCCCGTTCTCCTCGTTCACCGTGAAGTATTGCTTCTCCTCGCTCAGCCGCAGCTTGCGCGCCGGCAGCTCGTCCGCGCTGAGCCCCAGGTCCCGCGCCAGCGGCCCCACGAGCGAGCCTCTGCCCAGCTCCTCGGGGATGGCGTAGCGGACCCGCTCGGCCGCCGCCCGGCCCCACACGCACAGCAGCACCGCGGCCAGCAGCGCTCGCCCGCCGCCCGGCCCGCGCCTCTGCCGCCGCCTCACCGCCATTCTCTGCCCGCAGCGCTCGCCGCGCTCCTGCCTCCTGCCGCTGCCCTGCCTCCCTTCCAGCCGCTCTCGCCGGCGACAACAGAGACCGCTCAAACGCAGCGAGCTCGGCGCGCCGCCTCTCTCCGCCTCTCGCCGCCGCTGCTGCTGCTGCTGTTGGCGGTGCCGCTGCCGCTGTGGCCGGCGCCGGGCGAGCGAGCAGCCTGCGGGGGCAGGACGCTGCGGCGGCGGCGGCGGCGGCTCCAGCGCCGCTCGGCGGCGGCCAACAGCGACACCCGGAGGCGCCGCCGCGCCACTGCAGCCGCCTTATTCATGTTCATTTCCAATGTGTGTACGGCACCTTCCCACTTAGGGGTACAATCCCTGTGCTGCTGCAGCAAGAAGAGACTGGCAAAATATGAATTTGCAATATCCAATTGCATCTCTTTTCCAAACCCTCTCTATCTCTGCATACCAAGCTTGCATATCTTTTCAATCTTTCCTGATATTTCATCTTTCTGCCCACAGATGAGACTGAGGCCCACACAAATGACTTCACATTACTCTGAAATGCTCAGGTCTGGTTCTGATTCTGGACAACAATTAACACTGAGGGAGAGATGTTAAGTTTAAAGGTAGTGGACCTCCACTCAGACCCATGTCACTGTACATACCTGCCAAAGGAAAGTAAAGCACAAGGCCATGCAGGCTCTGCAATGTGCACATCCCTGCACCCACTATGCTTTAATGTGGAGAAACCCTTGGTGGTCTTGGCGGACTGTTAAAACTTCAAGGCCTGTCCTAAGAATTGTTGCAATATTTCCCCTGCTTTGATTTGAAGTGCTTCTAGACAAAGGCCCTATCATCTGGTCAGTCCATCTAACAACAGCATGATCAACTGAAAATTTTACAGTGGTTTCTGATGATTGATACACAAATCCAAAACTCCATATGACCTTATTGAGGAAGATATCTTGGGTGTATGATCTTAAGTTTCTCTGCCTCAAATCTCTCTTAAAATCTCATGCCCAGAGAAACTGGAAACTCACTGAATCCCAGAGATTACACTGATTTCACAGGGTTGCTAGGTATCTTTTAACTGTACTGGGTGACTTTACCAAGCTCCAGATATTGCTTTTTTCAGAACAACAATGCTTCCTGGCACTTAATAACTCAAAGAAGCCAACCCAAAACCTCCCACTGCCCCACATGGTGCTGATTGCTTCTTACTGTGAGAAATCCAGGTCTGCACAGTGTAGAAAATCAGAGGAGAATGTAGTCCTGCAGTCCCCAAGAAATAAGAATAATCTCCAGGTTGGTGGGACTGGCCATCTGTGCTCTGCAACCTCTACTGTGCTCTGGAGCTTGGCAGAAGGGCTCCAGAGGTGATTGCTGCTATGGAATAAGGCTCCTTGGTCTTTTTTATGCTTGTTACCCACTTGGAGTCAGCAGTGGGTGAGGCTCTGTTCATGTTCTTCACGAGGCCTTTTTTGCAAAGCGGAAGCTCAAATCACTCCCTCATTTCTGAGTATTTAGAAAACACCAAAAACAAAAACAAAACAAAAAAAAAAAAAAACAACCCCAAAAAAAAAAAAAAAAAAAAAAAAAAAAAAAAACAAACCAAAAAAAACCAAACCCACACCCACAAAAAAAAAACCAACCAAACAAACAAAAAAAACACAAACCAAACCAAACCAAAAAAAACCCCAAAAAAAAAAAAAAAAAAAAAAAAACCAAAACAAAAAAAAACCCAAAAAACCAAAATGGGAGATAGGGGACTCCTGGAATACACAGGTGCATTCTCATTGCATTCTCATATCTCTGCCTTAGAAAAATGTTTTACAAGGCCCCTGAAAGTCACCAGTGTCTGAATGAGCGAGTGAGACTCTGAAGTCTTACTTTGGACTATATAGTAGTGGGTTCTGGTTTTGGAAAGGCACCAGTGCTTCCACAGGAATTATAAACCATTCTACCCATTTATAAATTATTCCACCCATATGCCATCATTCTCATTTCTTTAAAACCCTTTCTGGATTTCAGATTTGTTTATGACCTCATCATTAAAAAAAATACCGTGTGAGAGATAATGCATCATGATCACGCACATAAAGGAGATACAGCTGTTTGATCACCCCCATTCTCAGAAAAAATATAATTATTAGAAAGCACAGGAATGATAAATGGACAAACTAAAAGAGAGGTGGTCATCCAACAGTGATGTAGTCATCAAACCATTCACTTAGGGGAATCTCTTCCCCTCTTTTATCACACACACTCTTCCACAAAATTATGACTTACTCTAAGGGCATGTTTACCTCTGTTCACTCAGAACTAGAACTCAAGGGACTGCCACTCACATCTCCTGCCTTCCTCACCAGCTACAACGTGACTAAACAGACACTAAAGAAGAAGGCCTTGGCAAATGAAGCTTTGCCACTACTTGTAATTAAACATACATATGGAGAGGGGAAAGAAAAAACAATTGTATGAGCAAGCATGTATTAAGTGTGTTTTCAGAGAAACTCACCAGGAGGATGACTCAGTTTTAACTTTGGCTACAGAAATTCATGTCTGAGAGTACCTGGAAGTCACTGAAGTCTCCAGCTGCAAGTGATACCCTGAGGTCTTAGTCTGGAACACATAGTAAGAAACCCTGAATTTAAAGCTTTATCATGGGCCTCTTGGTCAAGCCAAGTTTTGTGAGAAAGTTGAACAGGATCTCTTTTACACTGTTTCTTCATCCTCACACATAGAATTTTGTCTTAGGTGACCAAAGTAAGTATTTCCTGAAAAAAACTCCACTCATAGCTTCTAATGCAAAAGCAGTGTCCAAATCCAGGGAAACAGAAGCATGACCATGCAGGGAAAAAATGCCTAGAAGGAAGTGTTGGTACAACCTTGAAGAAACTCTCCATTGCAACATTCCAGGGAGATATAATTTAGATAAAGAGGTTTCAGATAGGAATTAGAAACTTGCCAAAGCTGGGGAATAATTCCTCCAAGGAGCAGAGTGATGTGCAAGGGTCTTTTCCCAGGCTCCTCTATCAAAGAAAGTTGTGGTTACAAGGAGTCTCATTCAGCCCTTTCCTGGTTTATGCAATTTCACTCCGAGCCAAATAATTTATCCCAGAAAGCCACTGGGAGCTGCCATATTTATTTTCTGGAATCTCCCTGCTAGGCAGCATGGCTGTGTGGTGATGACCTCCCACTACAGGGGATACCTCTCATGCTTGCTCCTTGAGGCAGGGAGATCTTTTACCAAGAAGAGCTCTTTGGATGGGTCTAATTTGAGGCCTCCTAAAAGTGAAGCTGGACATGCATCAAACTTGGTTAAAAACATATTTCCACAACATCACATTAAGACACTTTTGATAATACTTCTGACAGAGATTCTTTAGACAATCCAAGTCATTCATTAATGACATCTAACCAGGCATCAACCTGCTAAAATGCAGAGCTATTGGACAAATGCTCTGTTACCAGGCCTGCCATTGCCTTTCAAAACAGGGAAACCAGGATCACAGACAAAAATGGCACACCATGAAATCAAACAAGTCCTCAGTCAAAACCACATCAAATCACTTAATTTCCTAGTAGGAATTCAGCCTCTTGCTCTGCATTCACAGTATTCAGTTGCACCATGGACAAATCCAACTACTTGGATTATTGTTATCTTATGTCACCTACAAGTGAAAAAGAAATGGACGTTGAAGTCCAGCAGTATTTTATGAAACCTGAAGTATATCAAAGTCTTTGTCTTGGCAGGTGTGAATAGAAACTGCTCCCGTAACCTGTTAATTTCAACAGATCTCCTATTCCAGGTCTGTCAGCCAAACTGAGACCCACATTTACAACATGAGAAGCAGCAAGGAAGGAATGACAAGAGCACAGAAGTGAAGAAATCATAGCTTAATATTTCAGGCTGTGTCAAATGTAGCAGGTACACAGGGAGGAGTGTCTAGTGTCAAGAGGCACAAGTAATTTCTTTGGAAAAGAAGAATAGAAAATGCAGAGGAGTTCAACAATGGGATTAATACAGTAAATAGGGGAAACTGAATGTTCCCACCACCCTTTTAAGCCTTTTAAACCACAGCCAAGCAAACCTGTCCTGTCTCTGTGCAGACAGAATGCTTTGGCAAGCTCAAATATCATGCAGGAGAGGAGCTACCTTTGAAGACAGACATCTTTGAAAGACATGTTTCCCACAGAACTTCTGCTATGGAGATCGAGGATCATAACACAGATGCATGCATCAGAATATAAAATGATCTAGTGGGTAGAAGCCACACGTGGCTCAGTTAAAATCTCAGTCTTCAAAGTCCACTCAAAGACATCATCATTCTTTATCAGCACATGGGCATTTCAGAAGACACGTGACTCTGCAAAAATTAATGCATAGTTTATGTCTACATCCTAGGACCAGCATTCTCAGGAAGAGCCCTATCAGACATAGGAGAGAATTAAATTAGTAAGTTTGTTGCAAATACTTCAAATGAAAAGTGAATTTCTAGCAGAAATACCCTCTCATCCTTTTCTTTCCAAGCATTCTGCAAAATCCTATTTAAACCACTTTTGACATCTCTGATGGTGATTCTCTAAGCAATAAAAATCCCTCATTCACAGCACATACCCATGCATCATTTCTCTAAATGCAGAGTTACTGGACAAATGCTCTATGATCAGAGAACTACCATTGCCTTTAGAAACAGAGAAACCAGGACTGCAGAAAAGATGGCACAGGCCTTGGTACTATGCACAGTTTCAAACCATTGCTCAGGTAAAACTGCATTGATTCACCTTTTTCCTTGGTATGATGCCAGCCTCTGTCCTCCTTGTTCTGCATTCACAGCCTTTACTCACACAATACATAACACCAACAGTTACTCATTAAAAAAAAAAAAAAAAAGAGTCATTAATAACATCTGAAGGTTGGCCAAGGCTGAGAAAAGAATAATTCAACCATGATGAAATTCTACATCCAGACACAGAAGTACATAATAGCTGGAAAAATGATGCTTCATGTGGCAGTCCTTACACACAGAATTTCTGAAGGAAATTTTTACTTCCCTGGGTATTGTTTGCAGATAAATTCATCAGAGGACTGAGTTCCCCTTTCTGGATGCAGGAAAAGGGCACCTGGTGTAAGTGGCAAGGCCTTGGCAATCACCACGACATGAAGAGACACCCAGCCAGGTGGAACATCCAGCTGTCTCTTCCTGCTTTAGGCCACTCCCTGACTGATCTTGCACTGAATGCTCACCATGAATGTGCAACAAGCAAGAGCACTGATTCT